GGAAATTATATTTGTTGCTGGGTAAGCCTCTATATCGCCCGCCTAGCTCAATCGGCTAGAGCGTCAGACTTTTACGGCTTAGCCAGGTATCTGAAGGCTGCGAGTTCGACCCTCGCGGTGGGCTACATATGCGCGTCTGCAAGCGAATCTTTTGGTTCAATTTTGCTCCCTGTAAACTTGCTGCTGCTTGCACTGATCTAGGGCTCCAACCAATTCAATTGGTTACTGATTATGATTATTAGGGCCTGAGGTGTAATCAATTGTAATCATTTTGGTAGCCTTTCGGGGTTTTTGTCGCGAGACAGTGAGCGACTCAGCGAGCGTGTGGGCGGTGAGTGCACAGGGTATCCGTGCGGATCGTGAATACGGACAAGATACAGATACCCCACAGATATGCATACGGTTTGCCACCGGCGTATCCGTATCTGCCATTAGGTGGTCCTCCTACTTGTTCCTGCTACTTAACACAATATACTATCATTCTCAATCCGGTGCCTTTTGGTCTTGAACAAGGGGTTTAAACATCAGAGTGCTTCATGCAAGTGGTTTAGCTCCGCAACGGTGCCTTTCTTGCGTGGTACAAGTGAGTCACCGCTTTACTTGCTTTTCCAAGGCTATCCCACTGACCATTTGCTTCCTCGTCCCCAAGCACTCGAATCCGCCGGGTTTGGGGCCTGAAATAGGCTTCTATTCTGCCTAGAAACACGTTGGAAAGAGTGGTGAAGCGCTGAGCCACCGTCGTTGCGTTGAACGAGTGACTGAGTGCCGTGGCATCCCCCTCAGGCCCCCTCCATCGCTACATCTTATTTCACCTCCCAAGACACGACTCCACCGGGTTGTGGGTGTCTCGTAAGACGTATCATGTCTGGCAACACGATGGAGATGACGAGGAGCTTCTGCGATGCCGTCGTCGCATAAAACAAGTGAGCTACTGCATTGTCTCCACCTAGAGCCATTTCACTAATTACAGTATATCGAGCTTTGTGGGCTATAAACTTCTGTCGTTTTCCGTGCCTGCCCAGTCTGAGTTCCTAAGGAAGCTTGGCCAGGATTGCTACTTACGTGTGCCGTCTGTCCACTCTGGTGAAGCCGAGGTGGAAGTGAGGAATGATCATGATCAGTCACTAAACTACACTGACCAGATCAGGAGTCGAACTGACTGTGGAAATACGATCGGGGGCTTTCGGTGGCGCACACTAAGCCCAATGGTGCTTTGGCCGCGAAGGTGTCCCACAGGGTTCCAAGCTTTAGACTGGCACAACAGACAATGCAAATCGACGCCTTAAACGCGTCGTGTGGTCAAATATGATCACCTGCTTTTGATCGCAGTGGCTTTGAACGGAACCGCCGGGCCGGAGCCGTCATCGCACCAGAGGACCCTCCTCAAACAAGTTGAGTCGGGGATCATGTTCAGCAGTTAACCGTTCACAATCCAACCCAATCCAGTTCTTCTGCGAGCTTTGCCGTCAGCAGAATGCCACACGCTGCGTCAAGAAGCCGTCTACACCATTGGCGTTTTAGATCCCCCTCGTTCCGCGCTCAGGAACCACATGCAACGAATAAGGCCTAAGGCACAAGGTAGCTTATATCAGGCCTAATGCTTGGGTGCAGAGTGGTGCACGCGCTGATGAGTCAAGCTACAAGCACTTCACCGCCTCGCTGCCAAACAGTCAAACGCTGTAGATACATCGAAATATTCTCAGGGCTAGTCAAAGCCATTTGATCTCCCTGGCCGAATGAAGTTTAGTTCAAGGCATTCCCGAACAGCTGGTGGGAGCCAGGTACGTGATGCCATCTCAAACGCTTCCTGGAGTAACTTGGTCGCTGAGACATCATGATATGAAAGCATCTTCGGGATATGAGGCGTTATCTCCTTCTTCATCCCCGAACTTGAAATATCTTGCGCAGCTTCACTTCCTTAGACCATGTACACCAGTATCCTCAAGTCAATACTCGCCTTCGCCGGTTTGGGTGCGACACTAGCTTGCGACGACCACGCAAGCCATGCGCATACCCGGCGAACGGTGCCTGTAAGACCACCGACGCGGGAACTCGAATGGGGAGACATCAACTTTATCCACACGACTGACACGCATGGGTGGTATCTGGGGCACCAGAAGTCGTCTGCGCCTGAACCAAATTACAGGTCCGTTCCTTTTGCGCTCGCTGTGAGATCAGGTTCTCAACCAGATATGTGCAGCGGTGATATGGGCGAGTTTCTGTCGTTTGCACAGCGAATGAAGGAAAAGGCGTTGGTGAGTACTGACTGCATCCGCGCGAGTATCTACCTAACAACGATGCTCGCTCTGCAGAAAAAGGACGTTGACCTCCTGGTGATAGATTCAGGAGATCTGCATAGCGGTCTGTCGCCGGAAGTTTGTGTGACCTTTGTGGCTGAGACGTCGACGTTTATTGTGCAGGTACTGGTCTAGTCGATGGCTCGCCTTCCAACTCCGTCCTGGGACACGATGTTCGTATCTCCTTACTCAATAGCCTATGCTTCCTCTTGCTAAAAAATTCATCTCAGGCCTTGCAGCTTCTCAAGCGCGTCCCGTACGACGTAATGGCGATTGGAAAGTAAGCTCACTTATGCCAGTGGTTGTACGTAACGTTTCGCTGATTTTTCTTCATTCGTAGCCATGAGCTATACAACTACAGTATCACTCTAGATATGTACGTTCTTCTCGGCTATGGAAAGTTCTACAGGAAAACATACTGACTAGCCGCAGGCACCAGCAGTTCGCACCTTCTCTAAAAGGTCGCTTCCTTTCGTCCAACGTCAACATTACGGTCAACCAGGGTGGACGCGCCAGTTCTGTCCCTGTGGGGAGTAAGTTTTCTGCGCCCTATCTCATCTTCCACTCAAGCTGATTCTGTGCAGGTCGATTTGCAAAATTTCGGACGCGCAAGTAAGATACCCGCCGTTTTGCATGAGTATTCCCGCCTAACAGCAATGCCGTCACAAGAGGCAGGCGGATTACAGCACTTGGGGTTCTGTTCAACTTCATGAGCAACGATAAGAATACGACGGTGCAACGTCCCGCGGATATGGTCAAAGAATCCTGGGTGCGTCCTTTCGCGTGGTGATCTTTTGTAGGCAAGTTCACCAAGCTAATCTCGGCTCTGTAATTAGTTTCTGGACGCGATCAAGGAAGAGCCCGATGTTTTTCTTCTCGTGGGGTGAGGTTTTCTCTTTTGGTTCCTTTGTTCCTGGCAGTATAGCGTATGGCTGACGTGTTTTTTTTCTGCCCAGGCACATGCCCATCCAAGCTGGGAATGACTGTTCGTTTTTCCCCTGCAGCTGTGCGCGGTAGATCCTTTTCCGATACTTTTAATCACAGGGCCTCTTGTTTTCAACGCGATACGTGCTGTGCATCCGAAGACGCCGATCATCATCCTTGGAGGTGATCATCGAGAGGATCCTTGTTCAGCTTCTGTTTGCTCACTCTTACCAAGGACATTCTCACATCAGAGACTGCAGTCAGTCCCGTTACTCGATTGCGTATCTTTGCAGACATAGTCCTGATTTTAACACCCCAGATCGACTCGATGGAAGATCAGTGTCGTTCCAGAGTGGGAGATACATGGAGACAGTGGGCTGGCTTTGTCAGTCGCTTTCTCTTTTGATGGGCTTCGTTCGCTTACTGCAACCCTCTAGCTGTCAATCTTAAGCCCAAGTGTAACATCACCGTTGGTCGCAGATATCTAGATGCGAATAGGGCAACGTACGAGGTGATTCCATGTCACCAGACTACGTGTTCTTGTCGTTCTCAATACTGAGCTCGCTCTTCCTTCCTTTGCTCCTCAAAGTTCCATACCGGCAAAAGCGGCCGTCAACTTGACACCAAAGAAGGAACAGCCCTGACTCGAGATTACGAGGGTCTCGCGAACAAATACAATCTTGGGTTCAAGTATGGCACAGCGCCCAGGGACCTCACTCTCAACAGGTGCATTATCGTCCAAACAGCCTACCACGACCCCGCTGACGTTGACCCTCCTTTGAACCTTTCATCAGGTCTCCTTTCCCATCAAATACTTCCTCTCCTTCTGTGCTTGGCTCCCAGGTTAGTGCTTCCCCGAGACAGTATCCATCTGGGAGACATCTGCTTAACGCATGCGCCAGGCTGTTCCTTACGCTATATCCGTGAACAAAACCCGTGCCAATATCCCGAATCTGGTCATTGTACAAGCTGGTTCCCAACGCTACGATATCTTTGCGGGCGCTTTCACGAGGAACGACGAGTTGACGGCATCTCCGTTCCAAAACGCGTTCATGTACATCCAAGACGTTAGGCTTGGTGATGCGAAGCGAGTGCTCTCGCTGCTGAACGGTGGTTCTCTGAGCGGTGTACCAAACACAACCGGCTCCGTCAGAAGAGCACTGGGACGAGGTGAAGAGAGGCAGAAGGCTATCGAGGAGATGGTTCATGGCGGCCCAGAGTATAATCACTGGGTGCAAGCGATGAGTCGTGCTTCTGACGAGGAAGAAATGGAGCGTCGTGTAGCTGGTGGGCTGACTCCTGGATACGTCACTCAAGATGTTCGTTATATCCTCATGTCCCCGTTGGACCGTTGATACTCATACCCTTCTCTCTCTCTGTCTCCAGTCTTGCCCCGGAATCGGCGACGACACCCCACACGTCCCCATCGGACCCTTCTTCCACGTACCCACCTACGTTTCCTCAAACCCGCCCTCCGGAACAGACGACACCCGGATCGACTTGGTGTTTGTCGATTTCATACAGGAGGACGTGATCGAGGGGTTGAACGCGATTCAGAGCGAGAGGGTGTTTGTTCTGGGAGATGTGAGGGGGTATACGACGGTGTTGTTGAGGGATGTGTGGGGTGTTTATGCGGGGTTTGCGTGGGTGTGAGGTGTTGGGAGCGTTTTGGGACTGGGATTGGGGAGATTGGAAAGAGAAAATGTAAGTGCCATGCAGTTCAAGGCAAGCTCATGGCAGATTGTATCTTGTTTTGAAGCAATTGCGGCTCTTTGTATCGTTTTCATGGCGTAGTTGGTTATCGCATCCGTCTAACACGCTTGTGTGCACGGAAGGTCCTCAGTTCGAGCCTGGGTGAAAACATGCCTGCTGAGTCATAACTCAGAATCTAATAACATTTTGCCGCGGTGCTCAGCCAGAGTCAGCCTTCTGCTGTACTAGGGCTCCAACCATATGGTAAGTTATATGTATAGTCTTCGCGGTATACAGATACGGTAACAGTTGTTTACTGTATACAAATAGTATATAAACTGTTTATACTGTAGACGGTTATTTTCCACGAAGTTGCTAGAACGCAAGGAAATTCCACTACACATCATTGGAGAGTACATGAGACGTTCTGTGAGAATCTACGCTGAGATTTGCTCAATTCAGGCAAATCTCCCTCCTGAATTCAGTCATGGAGAAGTATGCTAGCACCGTGACGCTGTTTGCCTCCATAGACGAGTGGCAATTCTATCAGAGATGACAAGCTAAAGAGAGCAGCCTCTCCACAGCTACGCTGTATGCTGGAATTGCAAGATACTGGGAACGTTCTCGACCACAATCCCAACTTGATAGCTTGAATCAACATGTGCAGCGCCCAACCGGGAGGCTTCGAACGGTTTCCACCACAGGCTGAGCACTATTAAACCAAAACCATGCTCCCGCCTCGTTCAACGTTAACAGCTTCCCCGATCAGCAGCTTTCCCGACACATAATCATGATTTGCGCCTTCACCGACGATTAACCAACTTTTGATTACCATTGGTTCTATCTAGATCTAGTACAGTTAGGTCGATTGCATGCCTACACAAGCTCGGGCTCGTTCTCTCGTGTAGGCATCGACAGACCTAGGTGCGAAGTTGTGTGGAAACCATGTAAGAAAGTAGGAGTTCTGGAAGGAGCCTCGGCGGTGACCAGGCCGGTTGACCGACGGGGGTGTGTAATCTTGAGCAAACAAACTACGCTACTGAGTTCTTAACATCGCAAGACTAAAGGCTTTAACGTTAACATTGACTTGAAAGAACGAGCACTGAGCACTCCGAAACCCTTGTTAGCTATAGATCATAACAGACGCCGTCTCTCCAACGACGGTAGTGTCTTCCGCTCTTTAAACAAGCATTGCAATGGTTTCGTGTCCTTCTAAATGCGCTGATTTTTGCTGTAGAAGGGACACGAGCTCATCGACCAGGAGACCTCGCGAAAATTATTGCCACTTATCATAAATGCTTGATCAGTGCAGAACTTTGACAACGGTGTGGCGCGTACCTAGTGTCTGAGAAGAAAGGAGAGTCTGTGAGGAGGTGACGTCGGGTGGAAGAGCATTTAGAGGACTCGGAGACCACTTTCTCTTGATGTTTGGCGCACCCTCCATGGTTGCCCCAAGAAACGGTATATAACCGTATAAAACAGTTTACAAACAGCTCTGGGGAGGTGGGATATATATACATAAACATATACCACCACGACCGTATATAAACAGTTTAATACGGATACGGTTGGAGCCCTAGACTGTACCTACCGCTGCCTGCAGTGCATCTGGGGAGTTCTTGCAAGTCGATACTTTCTGTCAGACCATTGTCTTCTGAATCCACGTCACTCGTTGGATTGGCTGAAATCCGAAGCAGTTCGCCGCGAAATTTCACGCTAGTACTGGCTGAACGTGTACTACGCCCCTGGATGGCTAGTCGGTATCTCTCAGGACCATTACCAGGCTACTTCAATCTTTGTTGGTCCAGAGTCGTCTGAGCATCTTTAGTATTCGGCCTCGATTCGGCCACTCTCGCAAGGGATTTTCTAGGGTTGAGTTGGGCTGGGATTCCAATGAGACCACCGCCCAGACAACATGGTACTCTGCTCTAACGTTAGATGCATCTTCAGGCAATCTGCTTGCACTTTTCATCGTGCGTATATATATCCTACAGGCACAGAGAGCGCATCTGCTATACGTATTTCTGGCAAGGTGAGGCTCTCCTCCCGTTCACTAATTGCCAACATGGACATCGTGACCAGAAGCGCGTCTGTCTGCAATCATCATCCTTCCATGAATCTTGCCAGCCCTTTTTCGGACTTGATCATAACACAACAACATGAACCACTGTCTTGTACCGAACAATAGAGGACGGACATGGTTCACCTTTGCACTTCTACTCAATAGCGGCCGGACGACGCCGTGCTTGGACCTCTGTCTTTCATCTCTCCTTTTACCCTCACACCGGACGGGGTGACAATCGCCCTGCAAGATCCTAAGCCTTTCATTTCGGTAGACAAAAATGTTGGAGTATCTCTGCGAGTAAGATTTCCCTTGAGAGGACTCCTGGATGACGGTCTTAACCCTTGTCAACGCAGAATCACTGTACCAAAGGATGCAACCCGGGCTATCGAGCTAATGTCGAGAAGCTTGGGGGTTTACGCTGGACAAATCGCAAAGCGCTCACTCTGCCTCAAAGCGCTGTGTGGATGTATGGGCCATGTATTCGGCGACGTTCGACTGCTAAGAAAGGGTTCCACAACTGCCCCCTTCTTCCTTCAGCTTCCAATCCAACATCCAGAATTCACAAACGTTCTCGCCCGCTTCGCTGTCTCGCAACACTCCCCTCAGTCTCTCGCAGACATATCCGCATCCATGGAGGCCCTCAGCTTCTGCGACTGCGACACGTCCAACCGCTTGGTTCGCAAGATGCACGACTTCCCCCGCTTTCCCAGCCCTCACGATTCCGACCCCGTCCTCCTGTGCAATTACGTCTTCCGTATTCTAGCACCAGTGCTTTCAGGCGTATATCAAGCCCAACTGGTCAAGATTAAACAGCGCTCGCCATCCAAGCCGAAGGGCGAGGATTGCACGATGCTCGCCCATTATCTCGGTCAGGACATTGGAGAGTTCGAACACACAAGCCTCGCGATGGAATCCATGGTCAACTGGTACGAGAAGTATCGAGCTGTGGGCACTGTGGAGCTCGCTTACTCCTGCGAGCCGGTGGAGACAGAGTTTACCAGGATGGTATTGTTTTCCTCGGAGCACCAGCTCGAGCGTCTCCTGCATCTGGCGATATCTCAAATAGAGGTGTTGCTCCAGAATATGCTATCGTCGGGCGACCTCCTCTCAAATGCAACAGTATGACGTGTTTTCCCTGGGCGAATTATTCAAATGCGTATTCGGCAATAGGTTCGTAAACTACGCCGAACAAATCCCCGCAGCGACATTGGAGAAGATCTACCACACCCTTCGAACCTTATTCCAAGAGGCTGAGGGAACGATTCCCAAGGGCAAGGAGCTGGCAATGCTGCGATCTGCTCTAGTTGGGTCGGCGAGGAGCGCCCGAGACACTCTCGCAGAAACGGATTCGTCTTGGGCCGAGATCGCGGATCCTCTCATTGACAGCACTCCTGAGTAGATGGGAACCGATTCCTACGAGAATCAGTCTCCGTACTCACAACTGTCTTTCTTGATCCACATATTCAAAGAGACAAGTCAGTGGAAGAAAGCAGGTGCATGCATACGCCCTGCGGTGAGTGCTTCAGTCACAGTCATTGATAGTCAGCTCATGTTTTGGCTCAACTTCTATTCGAGGAGCGTCCAGTGAACAAGAAGACGTTCCCCCTTTGTGGGGGCTGTATGATCTTCGGTTACTGTGCGTCCGGCTCCTTTCGTTTGCGTTTTCGAAATCTCATATCTGCGCCCATCTTCTTCAGGCTCAGTTGCTTGTCAAAGGGCCGCTTGGACCTTCGCTGCATGTCCGCATAAAGAAGTTTGCAAACCCCTTGGCGTACTCGCTCGCATATGGGGAACAGACCCGTCAATGACTGCAATGATGCTGAAACCGATGCTGGAACGAACTGGGTGTGCTGCGGATCAACATAGCCAACTCTTACCCTTGGTAGCATTGGAACATGGCGTGGAATTGCAGCAGGTGGAGAAGTTTGGTTATTGCGCTTGACACATACATCGCTGTGCAGTCTGCAAAAGATCAGTAAGCGTTCGCGGTATTCGTTGGTCGAGGGAAATTATTATCACCTTCATCACCGTGTTCTTGGACCCCTTCATTTACGTTGCCAACTAATTGCCAGCTATCGATCTCGCGTTCTCTCTTCCTCGGCGATCTTCTTCCCATGCAAGGATTCGCGCAGTTTCTATCCAACCCATCGACACCCAACCTCGAAGACGCATCTAGCAGACAGCAGACATCGAAGTTATTCAAGACAGCCCGACCGTCACAAACGTGCACGTCACGACATGAGCAAACACTCTTAAGTGGCGAGGACTCCGATTTCGACTCTCGCCCAATTCCGTCTTTCTTCCCATTCCATGTCTGCGCCCCCACAACCCACCTCTGCGAACACTGTCCCCCCTGCTAGCGCTTCTCCGTCAGCAGCCGCACCCGGATCAGCACCCGGATCCGCCCTTGTCACTGGCTCTGCCCAATCCTCTGCCTCTGGATCTGGGTCGGGCCGACCCTCGGATACAAACTTCGACTCCGATGGAATACCCTTCACCATGCCGGCAGGAGCGATGACGATGATCAACCCGCCAGCGAACACCATACCACTCTACAAGATCGCCAAAGGAGAATACGTGACCTTCTCGTGGTACTACGACACAAATGTCATCGCCACTCCCACAGCCCTCACCGCCCATGCAATAGGCGACAATAAATACACGTACCCCGTCGGGCCGACAGACGGTGTCATCCGGGGAAACGCGACGCAGTTGACTTGGGATCCCTGGTCTTGGAATCAGCATAATCCGACACAGAAGCTAGCGGAGGCAACGTACACGCTGACGATGTGGGACGAGCGAGGCGAGACCGCTCCGAGGAAACCTGGCCGTATGGCGCCTTTCGGGAACCTCAAGTTCGTGATGTATACGCCGCAGCCGTATACGCCTTTGGAGAGCGGTAAGTACTTGCCTTCCTTATGTCAGGAGGAACGGGAACTGAGCTGACTTCGATTCCTTGTCTCTGTTGCAGGTTGGTCATGCCCTGGGTGCAACAGTGCGTCGAGCTGGAGACAGGCCACCCATCCGGCTGTCGTTTCGGCTACGGCCACCTTGTTGATTGTCTTGCTTTCTGGGTTCACCATTCTCCGTGGACGTTAGACCTTGCTTTTCTTCATGCACGAATGGATGTTTGGATCACACTTTCTCCTCGTAACCTCTTCACGAATCCCCGTAACGTACGTATGCCATCCCTCTTGGACAGTCTGCATAACCCACCTATCCTCTCGTTTATTCCTACTGCATAGCTTCACGACCTTGACCCAAGTCTTTTCGCTTTCCGCGTCTGTAGCGACGTACTACAGCTCGAGCACACATGTATCTTGACTATGTGACTGTGTTGCCTTCGCTCTACCTCGAGTCTCCTCGCGTGGTGTTATGCACGTAGTGGGGGGTATGTTCATTTCCTCCCCCAGTGAAGAGCCTCCAGGTTCGAGGTGCATCATCCGTCCATGCGAGTTGGAACGTGATTCCCATCGGGTTTGAAGTGAACGGCGATCATCATCAACCCCGACTCGGAGACAGCTTCTTTGGACTTCTCTTCCTCCCCGCATCACGCTGGCTGCCTTATGTATTGTAAAGTCCTCAGCTGTGCAATCCCTCTCCGTGTCTTCTCAGTGTCCACGAGCTACTGGAGTCAGCTGCCGATAGAGTTCAGGCTCTGACCTTGTCTTAACATGCTTGGAATCCACTGAGTAAGTGCTATACGATCTCCCACTACCACCAAGTCATTGTCGTTCTCTTGAATTACTATGCTGAAGCCATTGCTGCAGCTTCTTATCTTCCTGCAGTGCTTCCTGCTGCCTGCTGGTGCCGCTTACTTGGACACCTTGCCAAAGAACCAGCGAGATGTGTTCGATTACGCGATGAAGACGCTTGACGCGGAATACCCGAAGACGCCTCCGTTTGTGGTAAGCATTCGTGGCTTCTAGACACCATTGCCCATGCTTCTGACGTCTTCCAATGCGTAGTTTAACCAAGTCCGTTATGGAGTATGGTATGGAGTCGGGCTACTGGCGAGGAACCAGGGCAACGATTCCACCAGAGCAGCGGAAATCTTCACTGCAGCGTCAGTGTATTCTGCCAGCACTCGATCTGCGTCGGCTGACGCTGTAGATGATCCAGGTTCAAGTACCAGTACAAGAATCCTGCTGACAAGTGGTACGGAACTTTCAAAGTGCGTCCAACCGACGCTAATCCTCAACCAGGCGGAGCAGTGAGTTTCTTTTCTCGCTTCTCCATTCCAGTAGCTCAGTCTCTGTATCCAGATATACAGCGCCTATGATCCCAACATGGGCCTATTCGTCTCTACATCGTTTATCATCGCGCTCGAGGAGTTCGGGGACCTACTTTCCGAGGATCTCAAGGGCACGATCAAGGAGAGTATGCGCAACGCAACGATAGGTGACGGCTATCGAGTTGGTGGAGTAGATAGGGATAATCGTCAGTTCGCCTCCGTGAATGACTCTGGGCTTGACACTGAATAACCCCTACCTGCTTAGTTCGCCCGCCATACTCTAATCCGTGGTACATGCGGGTAATGACGACTACATACGTCGGCGCCATGCTGGAAGACAAGAACCACACGCACTGGGGCGATGTCTGGGCCAAGGAATCCTCAAATTTGTTCAATCAGTACAATAGCATGAGCGAGGTATGCAGGTCCTCCCACTATATCGCTACCACGAGCTCACAGGGTCGTTTTGCAGTTCAACTCCGGAACATATACAGGAGTCTCGCTTTATGCGCTGTCTCTGTGGGGATACATGCCCAAGTCGTCCGTGGCGTACCAGACCACGCCGAAGATGATAGAAGACACCTGGCGTCACCTTGGAGAGATCTGGAATCCGACTTTGCACACCCTTGGTGGACCTTTCGACAGATCGTTTGGCTTTGACCTCGTGAGCAGGCACATAGTTCCACCTGTTTTCCTTCTCCGCTGATCATCATCGTTACAGAGAAAGTATTGGGGTATTCTCGGTGCACAAGCAGCAGGGCTACTTGGTGGCATAGAGAATGGAACTGCGCCCGTGCCTAATCCACCCTCCTCGGGAACGCATCTAGCAGATATCGCGGCGTTTGTCTTGTAAGTTGGTGCGCCTTACCTGCGGCGTAACTGGACTCACCCACTCTATTCACAGAACTCCGTTGACTTCCAAGTTCCACGATCCTCTCATCTCGTCTGCTGTGCGCCAACGCTTCGTCGCTTTGGAGGAACCTCACTCCTACAAAGCACAAGCGATCTCACCGCCATACGACCGACCTGGGTTCGGGCCACGGAACTACACGACTTGGACTGATCATGGGCTTAGCGTCGGTGGCCTCGAGGTCGACGAGGAGAACGCAGGAGGACCCTTCTTCGCCACTGGCTCGTTCACTCCCGGGTTGATCCAATGGGACACAGGCGTTGCAAAGGCCTACATAGGTTGGCTTTCTGTAAGCTCAAGCTTCCCCGTCTTATCATCTATTGCACCACTGACATTCGCATATTGTATGTTCCCAGTACCATCCGTCATCCGGCAGCACCTCTGCCGTCGCCTCTAACACCACTCTTACCATCTCATATCCTCCTTCCCGCGCATGGCCCAACACCAGCGCCAAATCCTCAGTGTTCAACTTCCGCGTATCAACATTTCCGGACGTCCCAGGCTTCATATTCAACCAGTCTACCATTCGCGACGACGGGTCTGCATCTCTTCCTGGTCTCAACATTAAATTCACTGGTGATTTCATCAACTTGGCAAATCGCACGGTGGTGTCGAGCGGGACGGGGGTGTATCAGGATCGCAGGTATTGGACGATAGGGCTTCCTATCAAGCAGGGGGTGCAGGGGGTGCCGAGAGTGGTGGTTGAGTTTGAGAAGGTGTAGGATACTAGCTGTAATTTTTGTAATATATATAGTTGGAATGAAGTTCGTTTGCTGTGTCTTTGGCGGTGTGCTTGAAACCTTCAAAACCTCTGTGTTCCCACATGGGTATGGGCGCCATTGCGATTCTTCGAAACGCCAAGTTCACTTTACAATGCACAACTCGGAACCTCCGTATCTATGGCTAAAAAAGGGATCATCCGAGCAAAACTGACTTCACCCAGGATCGAACTGAGGACCTTCCGTGTGTGAGACGGATGCGATAACCGACTTCGCCATGAAGTCTTGCCGAGAAGGAGGTTAGTGTGCAATACGATGCTTGGGCTGCTTAGTCATCAGGACTTGTGCTTGCCTCTCTCTCTGGTTGACCTCCGTACACTCGTGCTTCTCAACTACCATGTCTACAGCTCATCGTCCAACATGGGATCCCGCTCAGGCAAAGGACAACAAGGCTGGCTCGCGCCAGTTCTCTGTACGAGATATGGCTGCTCACACGAAGTTGAAATTCCGGTGCGTAGCAAGATAGTCTGGATTCTTTCATTTTCTGAGGCGACGCTTCTCCGTAGACAAGTGGGCCAGACGTCTTCGGCAGAAGTGCAGAAGCGTGATCTTCGCGCTGAACTGCTGCTTGCCGAGCAGGAGGCAAAGAACAAGAAGCGCAAGGCACAGGGACTTCCTCCGTTAGCCATTGAAGGTACTCCGTCGTCGGCAGAGGTCCCCGCGGAGAATGAGGAGGCCAACAAGCGACGGAAGCTGCTACAGGAAGCTCTGGAGATGGACAAGGATAGCGACGACGATGACAGCGGTGACGAGAAGGATGAAGCGGAGCCGAAGAAGAACGGTGTTTCGAATGGCAAGGCAAAGGCCAACGGATCCGGAGACGCGGACGGGGATGTGGATATGGACTCACCTCGGTCCGACGATGAGAAGCTCGCCAACGCTCAGTCGGACTCCGACGATGACTCCGACTCGGATGAAGACGAGGATGATACCGCGGAGTTACTTCGCGAGCTGGAGAAAATCAAACGGGAAAGGGCGGAGGAGAAGGAGCGAGTTGCGCAAGAGCAGTCGGCCTCGGACGCTGCAACACGAGACGCCGAAATAGCAACGGCGAATCCACTCATGAATCTGGCCGCTGCCCTGGGACAGCCGACTGGTGTAAATACCACTGTGCCTGGAACCTTCTCTGTCAAGAAACGTTGGGATGACGGTATGTTTTCCGCAATGTTGTTCGACCTTGTCGGATCCTCACATCACTTTCCAGATGTCATCTTCAAGAATCAGGCGATGGCCGCCCGGGATAGGCAGAACCCAGGTTTCGTGAACGACCTACTACGGACAGAATTTCACAAAAAGTTCATGTCCAAGTTCATTAAGGTACGCACAGCTTTTCACCTCGATTGTCATGCCACTCGCCGCTAACTCTGCTTCTTGTGCAGTAATGTTTATGTCACGGACCTTCACTTATCTCTGTATATTATGTCTCGTTGACGGAGACCCTTCTCCGCTTTTCAATCAAACTCTTGCTCCCAAAAACATGCCGCTACGAAGTCGTGACGAAGCTCTAGCTCAGCGCCCCCATCTCTCTCCAAGGTGGAATCATACCTGTGCAATCTATCCATCATTCCGATCCTTACGTTGTTCTACTCTTTGTTGCTAAGACCCACCATGACCTCCGCTGGCCCCAGACATCGACCACCACTGCTCACACCAACCAGCCAGGACCTCTTCACGCCCAATACTTTCTATCTGCCAGCCACGTTTTGCTCATTATCATCGCCATCACCTCGAGGTCGTCTGGTCGAGGCTGCTCGTTTGTCTGGATGTCGAGCACTGCATGTGACCGTGCCTCTTGCATTGTTCCCCCTTCCGGTGCGCCTCGGAAGTGGGTCCCTTTCACCACATGGCCCTGATGTGGCAAGGGAAACATACGGCACTCACACTGGTCCAAACTTGCTCAAACAAATACACAACTCGTCCCCATTCACCCATGTTACTCTCCATTCCCGAAACAGTTAACAAATCCGGGGAGCCCTCTGATTTGAAACCGACTACCCCGTCCTTCCTTTCCTCGCGTCGCCTGTCACACGGACCCATCGCGGTCTCCTCATCAACTCACCTCAGTCAAACTATCAACCGATTGTGGCCCCCATACCTACCCATTGTGCCCTCTCTGTGAAGCCATTGTAGTCCCTTCACCCAACCAGGTATTTCCCTCGCGTCCTCCTCGTGTACTGGACGCGATCCTGATACCATAGATCGATTAGTGTTTTCTGTGAACACGTATCCGGCGCAACATACAATTCCCTTCACATCGACACAGACCTATAAGAAGCTGGCTTCCTCCACTGCTTGATCAGAATCATCATGCGCCACAATCGCCCCTCTCCCCCTACCGCCCCGCCCGGGTCTCTATTCAGCTCCTACTGCAAGACGACCCAGAACCTGATTTACGATGTTCGCAGAGGCGACTACGTGCTCCATCCGTCCGACGTCCCCGTTCTCCAAGGGCTTCTGGCCACGAGCAAGCCTCGACTCGAGCAGGTCGTGTACGAACTCTCATAGCTCCGCACGCAGCAGAAGGCACTCGAACACGAGCAAATCGAGCTCACCACCAATCTTACCGCCTCCTGCGCAGCCCTTTCCCACATCCGGAGACTACCCCTCAGCGTCCTCTTCGAGATATTCGAGTACCTCCTCCCACGATTTCCGGACGAAGAGACAGATAATGGCGGGCTGACACAGGCGTTAACGACGAGTTTGGACAGGCATTATGGGCCTTGGCTCGTCATGCGAGTGTGCAGGCAATGGAGGTTTGTCTGTCAGACGACACCCTGGCTCTGGACGGACGTGTACCTACGGCTTTCGTGCGATTCGGGGTCGGGGAGCAAGCCCGGAAGCTGTTTTGCGAGCATGTCAGGCCGGCTGAAGCAATACCTGGACTTATCCAAGCGGGCCAGCCCGACGAGCATATCATCACCGCCAACAATGCGCCTCCGGATCGACGCGGGGAGTCTTGACTCTCACGAACGCCAGTGCAAATCGGTCAACATGGTACTCGACCTGCTGGCCAGGGAGAACGAGCGGTGGTCGTCGATTGACATTCGATCGATCGTGGGCCTGGCGACCGGGTCGAAGACGATGTTCAATATTCTCGAGCAGCTCATGGGATCTATAACAAGGCCGCCGTTCAAGTCGTTGCAGACGCTGAAGTGCTCGATGGATACACAGGTTCGAAAGGGCGGTGGGAGGGCTTCTCGGACAGCTCCGGTGGTCAGATACTACGGATCTATGCAGAACTTTGAGTTCCCTCAGCTCATGTCCGTCAGATTCCTCGACCCCGTCACTTTCCGACAACTCGCCCCCTCCGTTCGGTCAAACATGTTCCCGTGGGCGAAGATCCAGTACTTGACGCTGTCCCAGGTATCCGCGCGTGTGATCCTTGACATCCTTCCGCACATCGCGAACACCGTATGCCTGTTAAACCTCCTCCACATCAGATCCCCTGTGGGTGCTGAAGATACACGCTCGGGACTGATAAAGGACAAGCACAGGGAGCACCTGTGCCAGCTCGACATTGATGCACTCGCGATCTCCAATCGTTCGGCCCGCCCGGCGATCGTTCTGAACAAGCTACGCACTCTACAGCTCAACCCGCCTATCCCTATCATCCTCGACTCCATCGACTGCCCCCAGTTCGACACTTTCGCAATCACGCACAGCAGCGAGCAACCCCAGCCCGCCGCCATCAAGCTTGTCCTAAACGCCATGACAGCCACCGCGGACTTTCTCAAACTCAACTCGTCATCACTGCACATGGTGAATATTGCCATCAAGCTCACGGAGAAGCAGTACGAGACGCTCCTGGAAAGCATGGCGAACGTCCGCACTCTCCAAGTTCTTTGGCCAACAGACTTCAACGCGCTCATCAAGGTGCTTGGAAAGACAGAGGGAGGAAAACCCCGTCCCGACCCAGCCTTCCTTCCCAAGTTATCTTGCTCCGTCGTCTTTGGGTACAATTACCCCGAAAAGAACAGGCCTTGCGTCGACGCAAGGAAAGTCTGGGAGTTGATGCGCATGCGGGGCGGACAGTTGAAGAACTGTCGTTTTCTGAGCATCCCACCGAATTACTCGGGGTGGGACGGAGCGGAGCATGAGAGGGAGGAGTCGGAGAGGGAGATGGATAGGCTGGGTTTGAACATGAGGTTCCTGGATTCGTTCAGCGACGAGGAAGATTCCTCTGATGATGAGTCGGACACGAGCGAGGATAAGGACGAGCAAGAAAGTTGTTAGACCCCATATGATTATGCGAATTGTGACTATGTATCCGTAAGATAGATCCTCCCTCTAGGCAACCCAACAATGTATCAACATACTCGAACGATACCTAGCTCTTCTGCCATACGAACTCTGGATCTGTCCACTCCGGCATCGCCGTCTCGTACGTCCCCAAACTCGTCGTGTACTTGAGCGCATGCAGGAAGATGTACAGCTTCTCCGGCTGTGGATCTGGATGGAGAGGAAGGTAACAATCTGGGCAGTAGAGTGCTGGACTGGCACCGCCTGTCTCGGCTGGGACGACCAAGGGCTGAGGCTCACCCGCAGCTTCGGAGGATGGTTCTGTGGACGTGGAAGCCGATGTGGACGATGTTGCATCCGCGGTGGATGAGGTATCTGCTGTGGAGGTCGGATCTGGTGTTGTGGCAGATGAAGATGGTGATGGATCGACCGCCCCAGGTAAAAGCGAGGAAGTCGCAGCGGTGAACGTCTCTGCTTTAGCCAGAGCCTCAGCCTGCGTCAACTGCGGAACCTCTACGACAGCGGGAGTCGCTTCGGACGTTGTCTGTGTCGTCGACTCGCCACTGTCCGCAGGTGCCACTCCTCCCTCCACCCCAACTCCACTCTCGCCGCCCACCACCACATCAGACTGCTGCACTATCACCACCTCATCCTCCCCCCTCACCCCCTTCTTCTCCTTCTGCTTCCCCCCCTTCTTCTTCTTCCCATCCGCCGGACCCCCCCGCTCACGCCTATGCGGCGGCGGCATCGGCCTCTTCATCACGCCCTGTGGCACCAGCGTCCCCTTAGCGCGGAAGACGACGTCGCGCCAGCGGGACCAGTCTTCGTCTTCGTCCTGTGAACGCTCGCATGAGTACCATTGTCCAGATTAGAACGCGCAGGATGACTGATAACCAGGACAAAGGGGGAAGAGAAGAACACGGACGAACCTTCATATTCCTCAAATTCGTGATCACCCTCACCGCCTCCGCAGACAACGGCACAGG